CATACTGTATACAACTGTAAGATTTGAAAACAATAATTAAAGGGAACTCATGGTTACATCAAAGTATAACACAATTTTCCAAATTCTTTTTCTAAATATATCGGGCAGCTGTATAGATTACAAGCAACATATGCTTTGTTGCTAGCTATGTATGTGGTAACTCAAAGAAGTTAGAAAGATTCAATATTTGATCGGTAATAGGATAAACGAACTATGTTATAAGTTTCATTGTAGCCCAATTAATTGGCTCCTTCAATTTCAAAATTGTACTCTCTTTATTTGACCAAAATTAAGCGAGATAATAGGGAGTCTGTGTCATTCTCCCACATGACTTTGACTTGCCTCATAATTGTTCACTTTTCCTGTGTTGGATGGTTTCATTTGGTTTATCAATGTCTTCTTTTTAGGTCGATGACTAATATTTGTCCAATAATGACTATCATATTTCCCTTTCTTTCATAAAAATGGAAAACTAGAACTGAAACGAAAACATTAAATGTTATATAATGTAGTTAAGATGATATTAGCTTGAAGAATTTCTTTTGCCCATCAAACTACATGAATGCTTAGTAAATTATAGGACTGCACAACACTATCAACATGATAATTTCGATAATTTTTACCTCAATAATCTTGGGGTCTACATAAATCCTTTCTCACCATTCTACTCTATCTAAGCCACCTATACTAGCAAATTCAATGATATAAAAATGTATAGCAATCACCTAACACCATTTTGGTATTAGTCTACCTCTTCTTTTAGCCGATTCTACTTGGATTATATCGCTCTTGTGAGTGAGTGGAAGATGTATTTAGGTCTACACAAGATATGTGTCCAAAATTCTAAGCCGATAATTTTTTCTCCTTCATATTATTGGCATATATCCTCATTCATTATTTTATTATTTCTAATGTGTTGGAATCCATCTTACAAACATTTTTTCCCTTAGCGATCCATTATTCATTACTAGAAAACATAGTTTGCCCAATGGCCATTCCATGTAATCTCATTTTAACTTGGAAGGTATCTTTCGATCACACCAAACTCTTGTAACCTTCTCTAACTTATCTGACCAATGCTAGGTTTATGAATTATATCATCAAATCTATGTACCTCAATAAATTATAAATACCTAAAATAATCACCATTTGGGAAAAGAGGTGCTTTATTCGGACACTTCATCCTTATTCCTACTATTGACTATAATGGCATTCCTTGTATTACATCTTAGTTCTACATAACCTAAAGATGTTAGATTCCATAGTTATATTTAACTTAGATTATCTGCCCATGTTGAAATTCAAACATCTGGAGAAGAAGAATGATGTTTCTTTTAAAATGTACTAAGGAAAAGGAAACATAGAAATTGGGTAAAGTATTGCAAAATTTGAGGTATATTTGCTTGAAGGGATTACTGTATTGAGTTCATTGAGGCTTTACTATGCAAAATGGAAGTTCTAGCAATGCAATTGCACAAATTTTTCCAGAAGTTTCAAGAAAATAAGCAATGATCTTTTCCTAGTCACCATTCTATCTAGATGCTGGGGTGTAACATTGAAAGAAAGAAAATTGTAGAAAGAAGAACTTGAAGCATCAGAAATCTCTGTGCAAAACATTATAGAACAATCAGTAGAAAAAAATTAGATTTGTGGGATGGTTGTCTCTTTATTGTTATTGATTTGATTAAGCATATAGCATATCTGCATCTGTCTACTATGTGCTGAATCATACACACTTTTTAGCATCTGAGCAATCTCATGTAAGTTACAAGAGTACTTGAGCGGACAGTCTTTTGACTGAGTTCATTCTATATTTTAAATACAATCTTTTAAGTTGCAAGAGCACTTATGCTGGCAGAGGAAGGTTAGCGAGGCAAAGGCAAGTGCAGAAGCTCTGAAAGCAAGTTTAGATGAACTAGGTCTAGAAAGGAAGCCTCAAGAAAGAAAATGAAAGTCCTTCTTCAGAAAATCTTCTCTCGAAAAATATTTTCGATGTTATCTTCCCCTCTCAACAAGGCAGTTATTTTTAGCAAATAAATCAAAAGCGGGTTAAGGTTGCTCCATGATCCTAGACATAATTTATGCCCGGTGGTTCATGGTTTCAAGGAGAAAAATCATGATAGAAAACTTATCTTCACCTTGAGTGATTATCTTGAATATAATCTAGTTCGTAGCCGGAGTATTCCAATACGCATGGTCGTTCGAATTGCTCAGATTGATCAATAAATAGGATCCTTACCGTTGATGGAACTTCTGCACCATTTGTCAATGTGGCAATGTGGGACTCGAGTTGTCCGAGGAAGTAAATTTAAATTGTTGTGTAAACTTGTGGCCAGATGGTTGTATACTTGTACATAAATTTGCAATTCTTGATTCTACTACTGCTGAAGGCTTGCTTGAATTTATGTTGTGGAGGGATTGAGAGAACCCCATCCCTCTCTTTCCTTTTTGTGTTGTTAAAGCTCCCTTATTTTTCCTGATTGGACTATGATTCTCATGTTTCCACGTCGTTCTAGTACGTTAAAATGGACATAATACAGCAATAAACTCTTTCTTAGCCTCTATTTGATTTGGATAAAAACTAGATTTTTAATAAATTTAATAAAAGTTGGTGAAATGTATGACTGAGAAGTTGATAGTCCCATAAAATATATGGGACTGACAAAGTTGGATTTGAGATGATTTAAAGGAGGGAAGCTCCTAATATAGAAAAGGAAATCCTTCATGTATACCACTCAACATACTGTCTTAATAATACAATCGTCACTAGGATAATAATACAACTGATACAAGAACAATAATTTTATAAGAAACAAATGATTCACCACTATTTTTAATAAAGTAAGGTAATAATTCAACTGACATATGTACAATAATGATGACGAATTTTAAAGTATCCTTTAAAATGCGAGGAATCTACTTTTAAAAGTACAGTTATTACAAACGACAATTCTGCCTTGCCTTCTTATAAATTATTTTATGTTCTTCTTGTAAATACATGGTCCCACGAAATGCGTGATCCCCTCTACTCCCAAACTCTTGATTTTGCTGTAATGAAACCTCAATAAGCATAAACTTTAGTTTTAGTCCCTTCGAAGACATTTGATAAAATTAATAAGGTACGAAGATTATAAGACCAACATTATGCCCGAGCAAGATACATGAACAGTAGCTAAGAGTGGACATAATAACTGTTCACTTGACTAAACAAATCAATCTAAGCCCCCATTTAGCCCCTAGTTCTTTGGAAAAGAAATGGATGGAATATTATTTTTTTAATTAAAATGAGTGGTTAAAAAAGAATAAAAAGTTTTCGATTTACGTATAATAATATTTTATATAAGATTGTGTGGTTAAAAATAGGAGAGAAAGAAATAGAATGTAATGAAATGAATATTAATGGGGGCCAAACAGAAACTAAATTTTTTTATAGTTTATCCTATTTATATGGTCAAAAAATACCCAAATAATAAAGCCCTTGTTTTATCCCCATTTTTGGGGGAAAAATGAATTTTTTAATAGTGTATTGATGAAAAATGTGTGGTTAAAAAATAAAGAAAAGTTTTATATTTATATGTGATATTATTTTATTGAAAAATGTGTGGTTGAAATGATATCAAAACACTATTAAAAAATGAATTTTTACCAAAGAGTGGGGCTTAAAAAGGGCAAAGATGTTATATAGATAAAATGACAAAATACCTATCATCATACTATTTTTCAAGTTGATAAGATATTTACTATATTACCCTTTGATTTCTTTAAATTTACCCATCCATCTTGGAAATTGTATTAAAAATATGGTTTATGCTATAAGTATATCAAGGTTTACACCAAGTGGCGTTTCATTATTAACTGGTAAAAAAATAGCTTTTTTCACTAGGCAATAATGAAATGTTAGTTGAGCATTATGCATATCAGTGTCCCTAAAATATTGGCCTATAAAGGACAATTTGGTAAATGTCATTTTGATTTTGCTGGAAAATAATAGGATTTCCTTCCAAATATACATACTTTACCTATTTTATTTAGGATAAATAGCAGTGAGGTTCCCAACCTTTGACATTTGTATGACTTTTGTCTCCAACCTTTAAAAAATAGAACTTACATTTTCAACCTTTCAATTTGGTAACACTTAGGTCCCAACTGGACAATTTTACCCGAGTCATTTAAATAGCTAGTTAAAATTCATTAAAATGACAACTTCACCCTTGTATTTAACAAAAAGAAAATGAAAGCAAGATAGAAAAACATATTTTAAATTTATATTCTTCGTTTCTCCACTCATTGTTTGCCCATACACCTCCATCCAACCCATCCTCCATTGCCACCTCCACTAAATCTTCATCATGTCGTCCCAATTTCTATTTTCATATATGTAATTTCAAGAATGTTTAGACTACGATACAAATTTCTCTCAACTTGCTCCACATTGCCCTGACTCAAATAGGGTGAGCAATCTTTGTTCCAAATGTTAAATGACGGTAGGGACGAAGAACTTTATTCCCTCCTCGAATTTTTCGAACAAGCCCGAATCTCTTTATTTTATTTCTATATTTTCAATTTAAATTGAATTTAGCATATAATTATTAATTAAACGGGATGATAAATCAATAGTTTTTAATTCCTGATCACCTAGCCTCTCAATCTCAACCCGCCCACGCCACCTGTTGTTCAAGGAACATTATTGTATAATTTATATATAAACTTTATTTCATTTTTTTTTATCTATTTATCTTTATTTAATTTCATTAATTAGGGAAAAAAATTGCCTTGTTGACAAAAAAATTAGCTAGTTTATTATTATAGATGAGTAAAATTGTCCACCAAGGACCAAAGTGTTATTAAAATGAAAGCTAGAAGACGTAAATGCTATCTTTTAAAGGTTGGGATAAAAGGACAACAAGTGTCAAAGGTTGGAGACCTCTGCTGCTATTTACCCATTTTCATTATAAGATAATGTATTTTTCAATAAGCTCACCCAAAGAAGCCCTAAAATGCAAATGTTCTTCTTAATTGAAATTGATAGCGCAAACAGGCGGCTATGGGAGTTCCCCTTGGCACCAGTTGATTTTTTGTAATTCGTAAGTGCAATTGATAGAGCAACAGAAGCAAGGGTTTCGCACCAATTGATCTTCTATTGCAGTGATTTCTACTCAATTTCTTCATCCCAAGGTTAGTATCACCAATTGATCTTTTATTGCAGTTATTTCTACTCAAAATTGTTTCTTGATGGTAATCTTCCTCTAGCGATAGAGATTTTCTCGATAATATATCTTGAATTTTTATGCGAATGTTAATGAAAAACTAAATTTGATTAATGTATTCGACTCTTTCATCACTCTGTAAGTATTTTTGCTTCGACTCCTCACCCTGCAGGGAATCGGCGAAGGTGGGTGGACGTAGGGGGGCAGGGACGGACAATGAGGGTAAGGGATGAGAAAATGAATTAGACGAGGCTATGAGGGAGATAGGGCTGGGGGATATGGGACAGAGTTGAGGAAAGAGGAAACGAGACGAGTGGAAGGGTTTCTCTGGGCACATCTTGTGTTGCAGTGATTTCTACTCAACTTCTTCATCTCCAAACTTGGAAGGTTAGTATCAGATTATATGTAGAGAAACACGCTTTATATGTTGATTTTGTACTTGATTTGATTGTTGTCAGTGATTTAATTTCAACACAAAGAGCCATTCTCATCTTCTAGCTTCACAGTATTTATTTTTTTCCCCCAAAATTGTTGTTTCTTAATGGTAATCTTCCTTATGCAGTAGCGATTTCTCTTGAAAATGTCCTCTTGAAATTTTGATGGGGTTGTATGTGATTTTCTCCTTGCCTTTGGAACCGGCTGCCCCTCAAGTGCAATAGGTGAACTCAGTAACTCAACGTACAATACTCAACATATACATGAAAATGACAAACTCAGAACTATATATATAAAATGGTGCACCTCGATGATGTTGCAGTCCGGCCATTGGAGAGTGTAGTAAAAAGGGCATCAGACTCAGAAATGGAGCAAACTTGCTCTCAACCAGGCGCTGCAGCTTCCTCATGTCTCCATATTCTGTTGCCTTCTAGACGTCATTCTGCAGGCTCTCATCATCCACTGGCTGCTTCTGATATCTCAATTCCACTTCTTCCACTACCTCGACTTCCAATGCCATATTAAATATTCGAAAAGTGGGATTTTTTCTTGGGAACTCAGAATATTCTTCAAAGCAATAAATTGATCAAAGAATTTAGTTAATATAGGGGTTTTCTTGGTAGGAGAGGTAGTTGACTGGATTGGTATAAGGGATTGAAGAAACAGTGGAAGTCAGAAGAAGCCAACTCCCTGTGTTTCGGAACTTCTACTACAAATATGTTTTGCTGTCTAGGACATTGAGGGAAAAAATAATGAAAGATATATTGGGGGTTATTAGTTCTTTTTGCTCTTAATAAGTAAATAACTGGATAATCAATCCCCTTTCTTCTACAATAAATTTTCAATTATTTGTAACATTCACTGCCAATTCTTCAAGCAAAATCCTCTTCTTCCTCCTTTTCTTTTTTTTTTCCCCACGGTTTTTTGTCTCTTTTTTTCGTTTTTTTTGGGGTGTGTCATATATTCTTATTTAGGGCATGTTTGAGTCACATTTTTCAAAAAAATACATTCTTAAACAGTGATTTGACATCATTTTAATTACACATTCTTCAATAAAATAATATTACAAGCAAATCCATAACTTTTCTTTATTTTTTAACCGCACATTTTCTATCAATACACTATTCAAAAATGCATTATAAGAAAAGTAATGTGGCTCAAACAACGGCTTATTATTATTATATTTTTTTTTGGAGTAATATAAAACTTTATGATTCTATAATATCTAAAAACTGAAAGTCAGTCCTTTTCTTTTTTTCTTTCCCTAGTTTTTGTTGTGAAAGAAGTTTCCCATCTTCAATTAACAATTTTCTTGGGTTTTTTTTATTCATGGCAGTTATTGAGGCTCCTCGCACTTGGAGAAAGATAAAAGTACGATTTACACAGCAATTGATACGTTTTATCTGACAGAAGAAGAGCTACAGAAATCGCCCTCTAGGAGAGATGGGATAGATGAAGCTATAGAAATGACACTTCGAATCTATGGTTGTGATCTCATTCAAGAGAGCGGTATTTTGCTCAAATTGTATCCTCATTTATTTTAATTTTCCTTATGGTCCTCTTATTTGTTGCAGTGTATGCTATGCTCCATTTGGTTCTAATATATGAGGACTGGAAGATGATATCGTGGTCTTTTTTCATGAGTAAAATGAGTAATAAAATTATTCTTTAATTGCATTTTTATTTCCTTAATTAAACTTTTCACAGGCCTCAAGCTGTGATGGCCACTGGTCAGGTCTTATTCCATCGTTTCTTCTGCAAGAAGTCATTTGCTAGATTTAACGTGAAGGTTACTTTTTTTCCTATTGATACCCCCCCCCCAACCCCAAAATTAGAATTATTTAGTTGCATTTCAGAATTTCATTAGCTTTATTCTCTTCTGACATAGTACCAGACTTGGTTTACACACAGAGGGTTGCTGCGAGTTGTGTATGGCTTGCTTCAAAACTCGAAGAAAGTCCTAGGAAAGCAAGGCAAGTCTTCATTGTTTTTCACAGGATGGAATGTAGAAGGGAAAACTTACCCATAGAGCATCTGGACACATATTCTAAGGTTGGATATCAATTTTAATCTTTTGTTCTGGATTAGGGCTATTAATTTTTAATTTATCATATAAATATTTTCCATTATCGGGTGAAGTTGTCTAAGGTTGGGTATTGACTTTAATCTTGGGTTTTTCATTACTGCTATCAATTTTGCAGTTTATTATATAACTATTTTTCTGTAATCTGTTGAAATCATAGGTTGTCTGTACAAAGCAGGTGTAGGAACTGGATTACATTCTTTAATCCCTAAAGTTTATGACACGACAGAGACACCCCTTATTTTTCAAATATCTTCAAAACCTCCCCCGTAGCATAAATTTCCCACTTTGTCCTTCTATCTTATTTTATCTTATCTTATACTTATATATATAATTATATCTGCTTTCTTATTTAATCTTAGTCATATATTTTGTGAATATTGAATTATGTTTGTCAATAGAAATATGTGGTTCTGAAGGTAGATTTGATCAGAACAGAGAGGCATCTTTTGAAAGAAATGGGTTTCATCTGCCATGTTGAGCATCCTAATAAGTTTATATCGAATTATCTTGCTACTCTTGGAACTCCTCCAGTACTGAGACAAGAAGCTTGGAATCTTGCAAATGATAGGTAAATTTTTGGATCTAGGAAAAAATTATGCACGCAAGCACGTATACTGTACTGAGATTTCTGTGAATAATGCTTTTAGCATGCATTATAGTTGCTATGGAAAGGTTCATGAAATTGTTATATTGCAGATCATGGAAGTCTACCCTCCTAAAGGCATATGTTCTGTGTGGATGTTAAAAATATATTTTTTCTAGAATGTCTCAATGGATCTGGTAATGAACTGAAGAGTGGCAAAAAAAGATCATGTAGCGGGGCTCAAATCTAAATAAACATAGTTTGTTGTGGAGCTGTTGAGTATTTGGTTCACATACTTCTATGCATTGTTAAAACTCTTTATATCCATTCATGATAGAATTATAGTAAGGCTATTTACATGTAAATTTCTACTTCTCGGTGGATTTAGTTCTCATTTGTCTCTATTCGAAAAAATTTCTTTTAATGTTCTACCAGATAAAGTTCAATATTTGGAAACTTGCATCTGCAATTTTTACTTTGCTAGAAGCTTAAGGATCTTCACCATCTGTTTAGTTTAAGAAGCTAACCTAGCATGAAGATTAGTAGCATTGAATTGAATTTACATTAGCTTGACCATGGGTCTTCTGCTTTCCTTTTATCAGTTTGATGATCTAGTATATTTGGTTAGTATTTCTTTCTCATGCACTCGTGAACACTGCTCTTGTCATCAAAGTCTTCTAATGAGTTCTAATGATCCTTATATTTATTTCTTATGAACAGCTTGCACACAACTTTGTGTGTTAGATTCAAGAGTGAAGTTGTAGCCTGTGGTGTTGTATATGCTGCAGCTCGAAGATTTCAAGTGTCACTGCCAGAGAGTCCTCCTTGGTGGAAAGCATTTGATGCTGATAAGTCTGGTATAGATGAGGTTTGTAGAGTACTGGCCCACCTATACACCCTTCCAAAGGCACATTATATACCTGTATGCAAGGAACGGGGTTTATTTTCAACATCTAATCGATCATGGGATTCACCACATGAGTTTGTTGCCAAGGTAAACACATGCTTTAACCAAATTGGTTCAATTTGATGTGTAACCCAATTTTTTATTCCTGTTTGCTTTATGCTTCTATTGTATAGCCAACTGCGAATCGAATTGCCTGGACAACACATTGAATAGACGATGGGGAATAATTCATCATTTTACTTAATTAGTGTATTTTAAAGAAATCTGGAATAATTGACTTGCTTCTGACTGGAATATCTGGGTAAGTTTTAAATCTTTTTGCCCTTTGTTTTTTTTTAGGATCGTTCCTTGACTGGACCAGCTGCAAATGAAGATAGTAGTACCGCAAAAGGGTCCTCTTCAGCTGCAAATCAGGAAGTGGGTAAGGATGTACTAGTAAAAGCTGCTTATGACAAGATTGAGGAGTTGAAGAGTGCCGATGACTCTAAAAGCTTGCCCACCGGTGAAGAGTCGAGAAAAGATTCAGAGTCTAAATTGATGTCTGATCATCGAACAGAGGTTGGTGGTGAAAGCAATAAGGGAAGGGACAGAGACAGGGTTAGGAACAGGGACAGGGACACGGATAGGGAGAAAGAGAGAACAAAGAGCAGAGATCATGATAGAGGGCGAGAATCTGATAAGGAACAAGGACGCGCGGATAGTGAAAGGGAAAGAGATAAGGTCAAGGAAAGGGTTCACCATTCGAGGGACAAAGGAAAAGACTCTGGTCAGTTCATGGATTCTTCATGATATGACTCTTCTTGCATTGTACGTTTTGATTACACTTCTTTGTTTATAACTGTATTGAATTGCTTTTCTGATCACCTTATGCAGGACGTTTCGAGAAATTAAAACATCACTCTTCTCGAGGTAAGTTTATAAATATTTCATTATTTATTTTTATTTTTTATTGAAATTGAGTTATTAAATAAGAAAATTGTCTTGTTTTACCAGATCGAGAATACCACAGCTCATCTTACTCATCAAGGGAGGACCGCCGCAAACATCATTCGTATGCATAAACTGAGTTGAAAGGTGCTATTTTATTTTTGCTATGCTGCTCGATTTTATGTTTCTTTTTTACAATTAAAAAATTCTGGATCAAATGACATTAGAAAGTACTTTTAATGTTAAGGTACTGTTCCCTCAACAGTGGAAACAATGTTGTCTAGTAGTCTTTCGAAGCTATTGATATTGAAATTTTGGTACTTCTAACGAGAAACCTTTTTTCTTCATCTTCGTTTAATGTTTTTGTCTTTCCTTTAAATTTCTTTCCTTGAGTTGAGAAAATTCATGGATGTTAAACTGGTTGATTCATCCTCTCTTAATTTCTAGTTTCTGTTGCATCTGAGTGTAGGATAAATGTGGTAAGTGATTTAGCCCCTGTTTGACAACCATTATTTGGTAAATGTTATGTTTTGAATAGTGGTTTTTAGAAGAATATGTGGTTAAAAAGTATGAAAAAATATTGGGTTTACATGCAAAATTTGTTATTGTGAATGTATTGTTAAAAATGAGTATGTGGAAAGGCAAGTTTTTAAATAATGGTTGTTAAACAAGGGGTTAATTTCATTTGTTTAATGGATTAATGCAATGATATGTTTATGTGCACTTGTTTGACAAAATTTAAAATAATTCTTTTTTTTTTCAAACTTGTTTTCAACCACACATTCTCACTATAAAATATTTTGCATGTAAATCAAAATTTTTCCCTATTTTTATCCACGTTCTCCGAAAAATCACTATTTCAAAATTCATTTTTCTTGGAAAATTCATTTTAATGGTTGTCAAACAGGGCGCAATATCATTAGTTGAGATTGTGATTGGTTATAGTCCTAAGTGGAGATTGAGATGGATTGATGGTTCTAAAGTTGAGATTGATATGATGCACATACTATTAGAAGTTGAGATTGAGATTAAGATCGAACATTTGGGCTCAAGTAGTGATTAGGCCCCTGTTTGGTTTAGATATAATTAGATTTTAGTAAATTTTGATAACAATCGATGGAATGTATGATCGAAAAGTTGTGGATTCCATGAAATATGTGGTTAAAATTAATTCTTCATTTAGATTTAGATTTTAATTGGCATTTTTCGTTGAACCGAATATGGACTAGGAATTACCTTGTTCTTGCTCTACAAATGATCAGAATGTCGGTTACTACCGATGTATCATTGTCAGTTGAAAATTAAAAGAATCATTTATTACTTTAAAATAAATTGTTACGAATTGATTTAATTAATTCATTCTTGATTCCTTCAAACATTGTGTAGTTGATTATTCCCTTATTTGTCTCTCTTTGCCTTCATATACTGCACACAAACTAAAACAATCTTACCCAATATTGTTTTGTGCTGTGCTCTTTTATTTTCTTTTTGTGTCGTTTCTTCCTCTAATTCTTGATAATGTTCTAGCACTTAGTCTCACTCGATCATACTATAACGGCATTCTTGGAAAAGTGTAATGGTCAATGAAGTGGAATGAAAGAGGGAGCTTATTCATATTCAATGTTAGATGAGTCAGTATGCAACAACCGCAAGGAAAAATGAGGTAGTAGACTATTAACTTTTTGCATATAGCATAACAAAAAATGATGTCAACATATAATTGTCTTATTTTGATCAGCTGATATTCTATGGGATGTCATCACAAATTAAAGAGGTCTATGATTTGACTCAGGATATTATTAACTTCTATATTTGTCATAATATCCCATGCCCCATCACTAACTAAAGTAAGCCAGTTATAATTTCCAAGCCTTTTGTCAGAATCCTTTGAATTATTGCTCATATTGAAATGGATATTGAGTGAATATTTATTTTTCATCGGGTATCTACAGATTGATCATAAGTTGAAATATGATTAGAGCTTTTATTTGTCTTGAACTTGTATTAAATTCATGTAATTATAAATTTTATAGCATTTTTCCGATTTTTTTGGATAATTAGTTTTGTGAATCATGTAGGTTATGTCGTTCCAATCAATGAGAAATTCATGGATGTATGCAGAGTTGACGAATTTTTGAATTTATCGACATTGAGGGGGGAGAACTTAGGTTATTCCTCTTGCTGTATATGAAACAAAAAATTAAATGCTCGTTTCTAACATTTCAAAATGATGTAATGAGAGAGAAGCAAAAATTATAAAAGAAAACAAAAGAAAGAGTAACCCAATGATGAGTCTATTTTTACTACTTTTTAGCTTCAGTTTTTGTTTTGTAGTTAGTTTTATTAAACCAGGGGAAGTAGTGTGTCCTATGGCGCCAGGCACTTATAAAGAAACAAAATTTCTTCAAAGTAGAAAAATCACTTGTAAGTGAAAAAGAAAATAATAATAAATCAAGTAAAAAAATTTATTAACCAAAAAAATTTCTCATGAGCAGAATAATTACTTTTTTAAGTAAAAATATAACATATAAAGAAAAATGCACTAATGAGTTAAAAAAATTACAACTAAAAAGGTTCATTCATGAGTAAATTTATGTACGAGTTAGAATATTATTTATATTTTTCAATATTTTGGTATAACAATCAATAGCCAAAGCTATTTATGTTCTTTAATTTTAATGGTTTAAAAAATGAGCAGTTAGCACAAAACGTTCTAATCGTTTGCACTTCTTGGTAAATCGTTGATATCGTTTCAAATTTGATATCTTTTCTTGCGAAGTTGGTCCTTTCCATCTTATTCAGTCAATTACTCTCATTAAATATGGGTAATTGGTGCAAAACATCATCGTTGATTGCCTTTATTCAACAAACATTCTTGTCGTTTGCTTTCATTGCTCAAAAGGTCTTTATCGCCTATTTTCTCAATTAAAGTATTGTAAAATAATTAATTTACCACCTATTTAAATAAAATAAATAGAAAAGAAAGAAATAATATAAAAAAATAAATAACAATGGTCAAAGTCCTAATTTTTCAAATAATGAAAACGGGTTCCGCTTAAAATAATTTAAAACATATTAACAAATCAAAAAATTTC